TATGCTGGCTTTCCTGTGCCCCTGTCTCCTCCTCTCAACACTGGCTGCTTAAGCAGGGATTCCTTCCTCCTCTCTCCCACAGCACAGACTGTAGCCAGCATGTGGTATACTAGTTAATGCTGTGTAAGGCAGATAGGACAGTGTCTACTTAGGGCTTTTTGGAGGTAATCAACAGCTCAGATGGTAATGTCCCTGCATTCCTTCCTTTGGAAAAGGCAAACAAGGTTCCTTGGGTAAATCTGATATCTTTCATTAGACCAACTAAATACTTGGAAAAAAATTTTCTTAGCAAGCTTTTGGGTTTAAAAACCCTTTGTCAGGCTGAGGAGGCATCTGCAATTGGTGTGTGCTCTTCCTGGATAGAATGAATAGTAAAGAAGCCAGAGGCTGGTATGCATTTTCCTTTGGGAAAAGCTGTTTAAGAAGAGCTTGTAATGAGCAAGGCTTTATTTTCTGATGGGGCATTAAATGCTGATAACAGAGTTGATAAATGCTCTGTTATCAAGGAGGCAGAGGGAAGGGACCCCCTTCCTAATCACAGTGTCCTGCTGGGGCCTGGTCATGCCCCCCTCAGCTCAGCTCTGTGCAAGGGAAGGGGAGGGCTGCTCTAGCGCCCCCCAGCTTCTAGCCTGAGCCACTGCAGGCATGTGCCTGAATTTCTGGGATGTCTGTCTGGTTACAAAACTGATTTAGCCTAGCCAGGTTAGACTAACCTGCAAAGATTGAATCAATTCAGGCTCAGGCTTTTTGAACGTCTGTCCCTAGTCAGGAGTCTTTAACTGGACTTGGCCCTAATTTGTTAGCTTGAAAAACAGTAGTTTTCCTTTACAGAGAAATATATTAACCTTGTCTATACATAAAAATTATATTGCTTGATAGCTTTTCAATACACTTAACACATTATAACCTTCCTTAGTGTGAACACAGTTATATGAGTAGAAAGGTGTTTATATCATTAAAGCTTAATTCCTGTTCCAGAAGAAATATCCATTATATTGAAGAAAGACATCTTTATGCTGATTAACTACAGCCACAATAGGTGTTGTGATCATTTAGCTATGGTGCTTTAAAAATATGTATATCAGAAAAATCTATCACAAAACTGGATTAAACATCTGAGGTGATACTTTATATTTCTTATATGTGAACATGCCTCATTTTTTTGAGCAGCTAGTCTCTGGACAGAAGGGAAAAAAAGAGAAGAGATGCCGCTACTTGATGGAGATAAGCATGAGACAAACAGAGTATTTTAGCTTTTTAACTTTCTAAAAATGGGAACAGGGCAGGAGGACTGCTTAAGAACAGCAAAACAGTAAATTATGAATGTAACACTTTTCCCCCCATTGAAAAAAATAAAAGCCTATGAGATTTTTCAAATGGAATATTCCCTTTTCCTTACCTTCCCAGGGGGTCACAGGTGCTACATCCAAGGAAAAGATGTTCTAACTAGCTACTAAAACAACTAACAACCTCATAAGTAATGCTCCTAGGACTATGCAAGGAGGAACTTTATTTTGCACTGCACTAAGCTGTGGCAGCCACAGTGAGCTGCTATATAAATAAACACTGCTGTAAGCAATTAACCTAATGTTCATCTGAAATATTCTAAACAATAATAAATGTGGTGAAGCAAAACAAAACAAACCTGGCTATTTAGTGTTTAGTGATGAGCATGACTAGAAAGCTGAATTTTAAAGAAAGAATAAAGAACCAACAACCATACTCACAATGCCCAAATGGTTCTTATTTTTCAGTTTCTTTATTATAAGAGCATGTGCCTATGATTTTTCATGTTGAAATGTTAAAAAGCACTTTCCCTTTAGTATTACTGAGGTCAGAGTGAATGTTGTGCTATGAAAACTACAGCCCTATACTTAAGCACTAATCAGATTCATTTCAGGCAGTCTCTTCCTCAGTGCCTTCAGTCCTGACCCAAAGGCTCTTTACAAATGATTTTGTCTCCTTTGAAGCCTCTGTTGAGGATCAATCCCAATTTCCTTAAATGTAGACTCACTGTCTTTTGTGGACCTAGGGGATTTGCTGCTTTGAATCAGTATCCCCAAGGAAAAAAGATCTTCAAGTTGCCTTTTCAGTTGTTATGAAAGTTCATGTAGGAATCTAGGCTCTGAACTATTTCTTTGGCACTATGAATAATTATAGTGTGAAATGCAGTAATTATTTAGATTATGGGATTCCTTGTGGAAACTTGCACCACAAAACACAGAATTCAAAATATACAGCCCTACTGCACAAAAATTACAGAATGAAAGTAGTAAGCAACTAGCTCTTTTTAAATGTATGTTTTTTTTAAATCACTAAGAGAAGACACAATCACTGAGTGTCTTAATTGGTCCATTCCGGGAATAAACTCCACTGGAATCTACAGCAACTGAGCTTGGCAAGGAAAACACAGTATGTCAAATATGAACCACCCAAAGAATGTGAACATTGATACACAGCAGCCACAGCCTGTCGTCATATTTAAACAAGCTGCCTTTTCACACAGCACACAGGTAAGATTCGAGTTGTGTATTAGGGTGGCATGTTTATCATTTCAGGTTTTTATTCTGCAGCCCTATTTCTTTTTCTTAAGCAAATGATCCTTGTGGTATGCCAAACATGCAGGATTTAAGTGAGCTCCAAAAAAGGGCAAATGTTCACAAAAACAAATTTTCGTCTGCGTTCCAACCCTGAACAGCATGTAAAATAAATCGCTAGAGAGAGAGAGAGAGAGAGATTCCCAAGGCACCAAAAGCAGGACAATACCACTTTTCCTTGCAGCTTTGTTATTGTAACCTTATATTGTTACTGTTATACTAATTCAAAGCTTTGGTTAAAAAAGCAGGTAGGAGTCAGAACTAATAATAATCTTGCCTAGCTCAAAGTTAATTGTACAGTGTAAAGTAGCACAGTTGTTGGGAGAGACCTATTTGTACGATGCATGCAACCTTAAGAGACTGATCACAAAATAACTTAATAAAAAGTTTTTACTATACCTGATTGTCCTGACAGAAATACAGTATTTCCACATCAGATTCCACATTGCACTGCCATCTCCCTTCATGACCCTCTCTGAAGTGTTTGTGAAATCAGAGAGATTCCGAGTAACTCAAAGTATAAATAAGTTTAGCAGGCAGGCAACAAAATTAGTCCAAGGTTCACGCAGCAACCAGGCACTGATTCATGATGGCTAAATGAATCCTCCAACCTCCACTCACTAAACAAACTGTAATTTGCAAAGAGAAACCAGCCTTTTCATCTGAGATCTCAAGTTACTTCTTTTTTCATGATTTACAAGAATTGTTGTTTATATTATTCGCAAATCAGAGAATATGACTAAAGGCTGTTTAGAGATTAGCTTGCCATCATCACAGAATGTTAAGGAAGGAAGGAAAACCTACCTACGTAGCACCTAGGAAAAATCAGCCTAGTTTATTCCACTTTAAAAGCAGTCTGACTGCAGGGCCCCAGAATATCGCTTACTAGTGCTTACCAAATACACCCTAAATCATATGGTTGAGACTGAATAAACTCCCAGCTGTCTGCAAAATTCCTTACTTGTCTACTGTAATAAACTTTTTAGTGCCAAAAGAAGTAATGAGTCATTTTCCAAAGCTGTACGTGAACACACAGAAAAAACATGAGGTTATACTGCAAGTTATATTTACAAAAATGGAACAGTAATGTCTGTTGAAAAGGAAAAAAAAAGGATTGTATGCACAGAATTCTCTTACACTGCTGTAAACTCTTGAACTGGGAAAGGCCAATTTGGTTTTATTTTGCATGGCTGCAAATCTAAACACAGCAGGCCTAATTCAAGGGCTAACAATTTCTGACTAATCGGAGGTTTTAGCAGCAGAATTAAATAGTTTTACTGATGCATTTTAACAACAAGTTTAAGGGTTTTCCTTGCTGTGTTCTACTGTGTTTTTAGCACTTGTATAGCACCTCGAAAATGTGGAGAATTTTGTAGAAATTAAACTTTTACCCACATCCTTTGAGGAAGGTATTGTAGGTAAATATTATTTTTCTTTCACTGATGGGCAAGTCCCTTTTTGTTCCCGTTTCCTTCAGGCCATCCAAGTCACTGTTCGTAGTGGGACTAAAGCATAAATTTTCCTGTCTCCGAGCCTCATATTCAGCCATTAGACCACATCATCTCTATGCATAGTGTTCAAGAGCAAAGTGCTTTGAGATTCTTCTGGATTAAAGACACTAAATAAGGGCATCTTCACATATACTCCAGAGGGGGGCACTTTAATTAGAGCAACTCTCAGGAGCCACTCTAATTAAAGCACCTGCAGCATCATGTGTGTCACAACCCAAAGTTGTGGTTTTTTGTTTTTGTGTGCTTTGGCACCGCTAAATTATGTCCTCGCCAAATTGCAGCTCCTTTGCACGGTAGAGTTTTCTGCTGCAATAGAGAATCCGCGTGCAAAACAGTATTTCCCGCCAGTTTGTAGCCTTCTTTGCATGGTGCATTTCTTTTGCATTATAGTGATGCACGGTGCAAAGGAGTTCCCGCTATTTGTATTTAGATTTGCGCCACATTATTGGCCGATCCTAAATTATGCACACGTGGTGGCTAGCGATTGGCTTGCTAGCCGTATAAAGAGCTTGGGAGGTTTCCGCCCAAGTTGGAGAGAGAGAAAGCAACTGGAGTTTGGGAGAAAGAGCGTGAAGATTTCTAAGCGCTGCTAATCCCTTCGAACCCAGCTTCTTTTTCTCCTTAAGAGGGCAATAGAGGGCCGACTTACCGAATCCACGGAGTCTTAACAACTCCAGGGGCCGATTTACCGAACCCACGGAGCTTCAACCACTCCGGGGGCCAAACGGCCTCTAGCCTCTCCACGTCGCCGAGCACAATCCTAAGACGTATCCCTTTCCTTTGAAGCTACCGAACCCGCGGAGCTTCAACCACTCCGGGGCCAATTACCGAGCCGAACCCGCGGAGCTTCAACCACTCCGGGGTCAACTGTCGGAGTCCTCTAGTGAGGACTTAAGCGGAGCTGAGCCTGGAAAACTGTCCAGCCTACACCACGACCATCTTTGGTGTAAGTAAACAATCTTTTAATCAACCATTACGCGTCCATAACTAATTCTAGCTCGCCACCGGTCTTCTTCGACCCCGCGTGCCCGGGCTGCTGGCCACAGCCCGCGTGCGCAAAAACGGGTCCGCATATCGCTCCCGGCTCGCACATGGCGACATGGATGAGATCGGGAGGCGGCCCGCACAATGTGTATTCAGCATCTCGCATTTCAAAGCGGTGGCAAGAGTGCTTTAAAGCTCATTCGATGAGCTTTAGTTAAAGTGCCCCACCACCATTGTGAAATGTGGGGACAGTGAATACACATGACGCTGAGGCTGGTGGAATGTGCTAGTTAGCATGTTCGAACATGTGCTAATTAGCATGCGTCAGAACAGGTGTTGGCATGTGTGTAGGTCTGCATTATTATAAACTTAGACTTAATTTAGTTCTTCCTCTATTTCTTAGAGTAATATATTTTTAGGGTGCAATATTTTTTATTATATAAGGCACAACAGACACACAATCAAACCAATCTGCCTAATAAGTCTTGGTAGTCATATCAAGTAGTAACTAGTATCCTGAATAATATCCTGTTTCAGTGTCCCTGGAACCAGGACATTCATAGCTCATAAAACAATAAAAAGCTCAAACTAGTCCCTCATGTAATAATCATATACCAGAAAACCTCACTAAATACACTGTCTATCATTACACTGCTGCCAAAAGCATCATACGCTCAGTAACAGAAACCATCTATGAAGTGGATTAAATGCAGCCAACACTAAAGCGCAACTATAAAACACATGGCCCACATTGGGCAGATATGCTGATGCGAACCTACCACAAGGATTGGTTGGTGCAACCCATCTGAGTTAGACATATGGTAGGGCCCATTAAGTCCCCCTCACTGCCAGTGCTCAATTGTGGGGTCACGCTAATTAGATGCACTAGGCTGAGAGAGGGTGCGACAGAGGGATTCTGGGTGAAATGTATGCAATGTATTGGCTCACCACAGCTATACCACGGAAAGATATACTGTATAGTAGCAGTACAGCAAGTAATATTCTCATAAATAAATTTTAGAGTCCAATTCTTGCCTTTACTACTCTTTGATACAATAATGAACACCACAGGTGACTGTGGCCTTATAGATGATGGGTATTAGGACACCTTGGTTCCATTCTCATGCCTGTCATTAATCACAATAAAACTTTGGGTAAATGAAAGGAATTGACTGCCCAAGTAATACGCTATTTTGCATGAAGTGGAATTCTCACATCTTTCAACCTACCTAAAACCATTTCTGAGATAAGTCCAGACATTCAAAAAAGCTTAAGGCTGGAATGATTCAGTCTTTGCAGGTTTATCTAAGCTGGAAAAGTTAAACCAATAAGCAAATGAACAGACATTCACTTTTGATTCAGAAAATGCAGCCACATGCCTGCACTGGCTCAGTCCAGAAACTAGAAGGTGCTAGAGCATGGCTCTCTAGTACAGCATGGGCTGTATGTTTGCTTCCTCTTCCTGCTGCTCCCAATGTCTCTGGGATTTGCAGTCTACAATCACAGAAGCAGGACTGTGCAGGGTTGCTCATCACTTCTTTCTGCTTCCAGGTACTTCTGGGATTTGTAGCCCACAGTCACAGCCAGCTGTGTACTTGGGAGGAGAGGCGGGAGGGAGGAAGGGAATTTGAATCTCCCTCCCTGGCCCCAGACCCCAGCAAGGGTTTGCTTGGGAGGACCAGTGAGCTAGCCCTCACTGCTCCATCTACGGAGTAAAAGGGCAGGGCCAACCCTGCTTCCTGGAGCCCAGAAAACCCATCCCATCCCAACCCAGGGCTGCAAAATGTTGGGATGCTGGGGGACTATTTTAACTTGAACCAGGAGGGGTTCTGGGCCAGAAGTTTCATAAACCAGTTTGACCTAAATCAGTTAAGTCTGATACTACATTCAACCAGGTTTATTTTAAACCAGTTTCAGTCATTTTGAAATTGCTTTATGTGCACTGAACTTCTATTCTGTTACAGTTTTAAACCAGTTTCTGATCACTGAAACTGGTTTATGTGCAACTTCTCTCCCTAGCCCCGGAGTAATGTGGAAGTCACCATAACAAATAAAGAAAGGGAAACAAAACCTTTACACATGCAGGAAACTTAAAATGCTGAGGAATTCATTCCTCTGGGCCTAATAATTTTTTTCCCTTCTCAGTCTTGTGATGTATTTATGTTAATTTATGATGCAAATACAATTCAACATTTAAATGTGGGGCGGGTAGGGAGGGAGAACAGATCTGTGCAGAAGATGGATTACTTTGAATGTCTTTTGAAATGAGGGATGTTTGAAACATACACTTAAGCTTACTTAGCAGAGGTATGGTTATACTGACTGGTTATATCTGGGCAGGAGCAGCAACTGGCAGCTCACTGCTTCTGGGTAAGATATCACCTTTTTTGTTGCTGATGTGTATGGAGCAGTCATTTAAATACTGGCTTTTGGCATAAAAAAATTAGGTAAACATCTCCCTCAGCAGCATTGACCCACTGGTTGCAGTTCCTATGCTACAGATCCTATGCTCTGCCCTCCCTGCTGTCAGAGCTGCTGCAGAGAAGATGCAGGTGCAAACGGTGGGGCAAGATGAGAGGATGCTACGTCCCCTAGCTGCATTCCAGTGCCACCCCTCCTTAGGTAGCACCCAGGACTCGTGTCCCACTCACCACCCATGGTTATGTTACTGCGTACTAACAACTGCTGGGTAAGACTTCATTGAATGGGTGCAAGTGTGCTGACAGTTTAAATCACTGTCCTGATAGTCCCAGCTAGCCAATCAGTGCAGTCAGGTTACCAATGCCCAGGTGGTTTCTGTCCACATAGGGGACTCTTCTTGCAAACTGGTGATTAACACACTGTGGTCAAACCACATGTCTGCCTTGTTCTGTAGTCTCTTCTCTGGAAATGGAATTATGGGGACAAAAGACAGAACAGACATCAAAGGGACCACTGACCAATCACCTTAATACTGCATTTTACTTGGAATGAATTGAATCCTTTTTTAATTTTGTGTTTGGGGTAATTTTTAGCTACAATTAGATTTAGGAAAATACGAGAAAGTTTTGGCAGTAGTAGTTGACTGCTTTTTGTCTTAGTTATTTACAGTCTCTTACCTTCACTCTCATGGACGTTAAATGTGATAGAAATGAGATGCTGATTAGCATGTCATGTAATTTAACTTGTTTGAAGGCTTATTCTGTCATTGTGTGACATCAGTTAGCAGTAGCCACAGGTATACGGATGACTCCTTTTGGCACCACATTTATCTTAGAATGGATTTTCCAATCATAATCTGTTGTAACAATTGCAATAAATGACAATCTTCTCCCATGCTCACACATTAAAGCCAAGCAATTCTGGCCAACAGCAGCCATGGTAAGTATTACAGGTGTGAAAAATGGGCCCTATTCAATTTGGATTCAGCCCAAATCAGGGACAGTGATTCGATTAATTGACTTAGATTGCTGTCCCTGATTTGATTCGGCCAAATCCGAATCTGAAGATTCAATGCTGATTCAGAGAATCAGCGATTCGGAAATAGACAAAGCTTTAAAAGTTTTTTCTACATACCTCAAGGTACCAGGTGTGGCTCATGATCGCTGCAATGCTGGGGTGGATGGAGCGTCCCAGAGAAGTGTGAGGCCGCCCCCCCATGTGCTTGGCAGCGAACCCGGAAGTGGATCAGAAGTACTTCTGGTCCACTTCCAGGTCCACCAGGAACTGTGCTGGGGCTTCGCAACCCCCCGGCTCAGCAATCAGCTGCGGGGGGACCCCAGGTGCCCCTTGCCAGACCCAGGAGGCACCACTTGCCAAGCCAGGGGGATGCGGGAGGGCCCCCCTGCCCACGCCACAGCAAACCCAGAAGTAGACTGGAAATGCTTCTGGTCCACTTCCAGGTCTGCTTCTGAGCACACTGGGGAGCCCCCCACACTCCTGTGGGACACTCCATGTGCCTCAGCATCGCAGCATTCACAAGCCCCTGCTACCTAGAGGTACGTAGAAAAACATTTAAAGTTGTCTCTATGTCCGAATTGCCGAATCTTTCCAAATCTCTCTGAACTAATTCAGAGGGTTCTGATTTGATTCTGAAAGATTAAAGGGTCCACTGATTTGATTCAGATTCGGAGATTCATCCACTGAACTGGGCCAAATCTCCACCGAATCGAATCAGTGACGGAAGCTTCACACAGTCCTAGTAAGTATGCTGATCATGAGGGCTGCTTTTCTAAAGTTGTTGTCTGGGAACATTTATTTCTGTGGGTTTGCAACAGACACTCATCTGCCCTAGAGATGATGGGCTTGGTCCTAGCAACTCTAGATCTTAGATGTTGTCCTGACAGTGGAAAGTCCAAGGTTGTTTATGAAGCTCTGACGCAACAGGGAAGGCCCCTTAAAAAAAATGTTCTCAGGCAAGAGACTGCATTACATTTTTAAAGGAAGCTGATATTTGGTAGCTTTGGGTGGAGGAAGGAAGGCCACCACATCATATTTTATGTTATCTCCTGTTTTTTACATTGGAATCTGAGGCTATCTGTCAAAAAATGTTATAGGGGACATTAATCATTTCTCTGTGTTTTAAAATTCTAGAGTTGTGATTCTTTCAGACACTGTCAGCAGGTTGTTACTTTATGTGATATTAACAGAAATGTAACACAAGTCAGAGGATCAAGTTGTATTATCCTAGGCCCTCCTGGGAATCATTCATATTTTACCTAAAGCCAACTTGATAAGCAGAGTGTTCTGTTGGTGCAGTCAAGGAGATAGGCTGACAATGTCAAGCTCTGTCATGGAAGTCACTATGAAGCATTTCCAGGGTGACACTGAAGCATCCAGGACATCCTATCCGATTTGCTTTTCTGATAAAGTCATGTTCTGGATACATGCATCACTTCACACAGTACATATTCTAAACTAAGGTAATATTGCTGCTTAACCTGCATTGCATCTCTGCAATTACACTGTATTTCTCTTAATGTA